CACAAACAATATTCCTGAACCTAACTACTGGGTGATGGAAAATTAGAGGGGATAAAAAAGAGGCCTAAAAGCATTTTGAAAAATGAACCGCATATATTTCCAAAGTCTCTAGAGCCACATAAGGCCGGAACTTGAACTATAATATTACAGAACTAATTGCCACAGAGCATTCCAGTAAGTCCTTAGAGGCTTGCATTATTCCCCATCAAAAAGGTTCATTTGAGCCTAAGCTTGCAATGCAGGCTGGAATCCTGCTGAACTTGCACTTTCTTTAAGATAATTTTCACTCTACCACATTCCTAATGGTATAGATAAGGAAGAACAATGTAGAACCACTTGCAAGCACAGACACCAACATTATCAAAAAATGGAAATATTTGCAGCATGTTGGACTTTTGTCATACAAATCACAGCAACCATGATAAAGTGAATAAAAAAAATCATAGTGTTTTTACTTATTTCCCTATTACATTGAATATTTAACTAAATAGATGTTATTAAGTCACCATGGGCCAGGTCTATCTCCAACGCACTTCTACAAAAGAAGCACTGTTTAAAACTCCAAATATTCAAAAACAACTGTCAGCCTCATAAAATAAGTGGCCTTGGATTAAAACCAATGAGATGTTAAGTAGTAAATTTGAGTTTTCTTTTCCTGATGCCCATTTTTAAAGTTTTTGGCTGCTTTCTTTCCAGACTTCTTTGTCTAATCCAGAGGGTCAAAACCATTTAAAACACTGGCATTTTAATATCATTTTATGATTCCAAAAATAAAGGATTAAGCCACATTTCCTGGATCACAGGATAAAATCTTGAGAACTGCCAATTTGCTATGAACCAGATGGTTCAAAGGCTGTTGTTTCACTGGACCAGATTCCCTAATGTGCTTCTGTGGCTGATTCTTTTTGAGTGTTGCTGATGTCAATTTTAAGGTCCCTAAGATTCAACTGGAATTCTCAGTGCCATATTCATCATGTAACTTGGTGGGATGTACCCATGGCCAGTAGTCCCCATGACCTAAGAAATGCTGAGATCTGAATTCTCTCATCACTGGGAAGAGATTAGAAGCCACATTTCTCAAAGCAGCATTAACATCACCACACCAAAATGCATTCCAAGACAAGTTATTTCACTGTGGCTAAATGAAATCAGGATAGAAGATGCCAGGAAAACAAACAAAAAACCCCAGCAAACCAAAGGCAGAAATGAATGCCTAGCCTATCAGTAAGCAGTCTGCCTAATGTGGGCACTCCTCCCAGAGCCTGTGCTCTGTTTGCCTCACTTGACTCACAGTAAACTCCCTGTTTACTTTTCTTCTGCCTATTCAATCTTTTTGTATGTACGTTATAACACTTCACTAAGAAGTGAAAATCCCCTCGTGCCATACCTGCCTATGGATTAGGAAAACTGTAAAAAAAAAAAAAAGAAATATGATTTGAAAGACTGAATCTAAGGGTTCCACCTACTTCTTAACTGTTGTGCTAGAGGCAGGAGTGCAGTCTAATTTGTGGATAGTGTTTTAAGCGTCTTATCCAAAGTTAAATTTGCAGATCTACTAAAGGCCAACTAGTTCATCCAGGTGTCATAAAAGATCAACTTTAACCTTGCCAGCTGCAATTTAAATCCATGGTATTTTGTCCTTATCCTTGATGTTTGAAATGTATAAAAATATTTGATTACTTTCTTATGATTTCCTAGCCTCATTTTTCTCCTTCTAACCAAACCAAGGCCATTTCTTTCAATCTTTTGTTTTAGAACCTATTTTCCACGTCCCGACCTACATCATCCTTGTTGCTTCCCTCTGTAGTGTAGGGTGTTCCTTCATGGGTAGCGGTCAAAATCACAGACTCTACTGCAATGAGTAAATGAGCATTCTGCAAGTCTTACATACACAAACTCTGGGAAACTTCCAGTGTAATGTTCACATTTTGACAATTTTAAGAAATTATTTGCCACTACAAACTGACTCTTTATCCAGAAGTTTTATTTCCTCAAGATCACTTTGTGCAATTGTTAAAAAAAGCCAAACCAGAAAAAGAACACTTTAATTTGAGAAGGAAAAAACACACGCAACCAAGTTTTAAAAGGGACTTGGATTCAAGGTCATGAGGGATGCACCTTCCCATTGCTCTGACAGGTATGTTTACACAATTGTATTGGATTTAAGGCATTCTCTCCCTCAAACTCTCAGCAGCATGTTAACTACAATGCTGACTTTTCTGATTCAAGTTTATAAATATTTAATTCTCCCTGGAGCATTGTTGAAGTGGTCTTGGATTTTACTGATGGCTGCTGCAGGAAGCCCCTACACAATTGCTAAACTTCTCCCATCACTTGATTCACAGTGTAATTCATTAACGATGGAGTTGAAAGCAGCTAGGTAAAAAATCTGGATTTGATGAAGCATTGTGTGTTCTCCCACCAAACCTGTACTACAGCACAGGTACCTGGGCAGGAGCAGAGCAGAGAAGTGGGAGTTTTCAGGATGTGAAAAACACCAATCACTTGTTTTTAAAATTTTAAAAGTTGAATAGTAATAAAATGGTTACAAAAATAGGAATACAATTAGAGTAATAAAAATTTGGACAATTAGGATTTAGGACAATACGAGACAATAAAAACAAAGAGTTACAGACAGTCCAGGTAACTCTTTCTGGGCAAAATAAGCCCAAAAAAGGACACACATTAACAGAGGATTAACCCTCAAAAGCAATAGCCTGTTGCATATTCATGCATCTCATACATGATGCAAAAATTCCATTCAAACAAAGGATTCTGTCTGGTCAGTGTCAACTTCTTCCCATTAATCCTAATGGCATCTTCATGGCTAAGCAAGGTGGGAAGAAGTTCGTTTCTTCTGATAATGGAGCAATAAATTCATTTTGTCTGAAAGATTTAGGTGTCCTGTGGCTGCTATCTCAGTGCGAGTCCTCTCTTTAAAAAAAGTATCTTCCATAGCACAGTTTCTATTTTAACATTATGTTATAACCTAAAACTATATTTAACACACTACTTTAGAAAATTAATGCAGCATAACTTTCTAACAAAACACATATAATATTCATTTTAATATTTGCAAAAAGCCAATCATAAAATACGCATTTTTCACACAGGATAAAGGGTTATGAGCAGGCATTGTCAAAGTGAGCTCACCTGCCTGAGCACACACACAGCCCGGGCTCTGAGCTGCGGGCTCTGACCCCAGGCAGTTCCCTCGATCCCTGCTGTGCAGGTGCCAGCAGCACCTGGAATGCTGTGTCCATTTCTGGGCTCCACAGTGCAAGGGAGCTCCTGGAGCCGGCCCAGTGGAGAGCTAGAGCTGGTTCAAGGGTCTGGAGCATGTCTTCCATGAGGAAAGGCTGAGGGGCGGGCCTGCTCAGATGACTGAGATGACTGAGGGGGGCTAATCAGTGTTGTGAGATGCAAAGCTGTGTTTCATGTCAGGTACAAACAGGCGATGTGTGTACTTGTGAATGCAATATGTGTGGATACTGACAATGGGATAGTTGCGAATTCTAATAATAACTGACGGCCTTTGAACCTATCTTTTGTTTGCAATTAACCCTGGTTGATTTAGGAACATTGGAATTAAGGTGTTAAGGATGTTGTTTCTTGCTTGCAGTTAACCATAAAGAGCTATGCAATAATAACCTTTTGAAGTACAATTTTAGAATATTACTTATATCCTTGAAACTACAGCTTTGGAATATATATAAAGGAAATATGCTTATCTCACGCCTTATTGAAGCAGAGAAAAGGAAGATGAACATCACCTCAAGGATTTATGGTTTCGACCAAAGGGAAGCTGGACATCACTGTTATGAGATTTATAGTCTCTGCAATTAAAAGGTGGACACACATCTAGGGAGCTGGACCCCACCAGATGGGATTGGTCTTTCTTCTTTCGGAAACTGGACCATCACCATCTGGGGATACTCCTTTGAGATACATCCTGAGAAATTAAAATCACAATAGTGTATAGAATTGTGATGTAATAATCTGGAATAAAAATTGCTGAGGAGTAAAAAATTGGAAATAGAAACTGTTGAAAAAAACTGATGAGTACCCCTATAAATACCTGTAACCATCAATTATCGGTGTGCAGTTGGAGGGAAAACTTCCCCCACTGTACCCAGCGCTCTATTACTAATACTTTACCATATTAAATAGTAAATTGATTGCTGCTTGAATATTGGCCTAGTCAAGCTTCTTATTCATAACAATGTGTATCTCAAAGGAGGGTGCCAACAAGACGGATCCAGGCTCTTCCTGGCAATGCCAAGCAACAGGACAAGAGGCAAGAGAAACGGATACACCGGAATTCCACTTAAATATGAGGAAGAATTTCTTTATTGTGTGAGTGATCATGCCTTGGGACAGACTGCCCCACCTGAAGACATTCCAAAACTGTCTGGATAGAATCCTATGCCATGTGCTCTGGGATGACCCTGTTTGAGCAGGGAGGTTGCACCAGATGCGCCACTGGGGTCCCTTCCAACCTGACCCAGGACAAGACGGGACACAGCAGCGGCCACGGGAAGGCAGCCCGAGCCCTCCTCAGGCAGCAACCGCAGCTCTGGGCAGCCAGGCTGGGTCGCCTCATGGCCGGATGCCCGCCGCCCTCGGCACGCCGCCGTGCCCCAGCAGGCCCGCGGTGGAGCGGAGAGACTCCTCCACATCGGAGAGAACCCTCCACATCGGAGAGAACCTTCCCCATTTCCCACCGCCGCCTCCCCAGGCATTCGGGACCGCACACGCGCTCCCGGGCCGGCGGGGGCGGGAACGGCCCCGGCTCCTTCCGCCCGCCTCGCGCATGCGCACCGGCGCCCCTGCAGCAAGCCCCGCCCTCCCGCGCCGCTGGAGCCGCTGGGCGGCGGGAGAGCGCGCGCGCGCGGCGCGGCTCGGAGCGGCACGTGACATGGAGGAGGCGGGGACGGGAAGGGAAAGGTCAGCGGCGACGCCGGCGGCGGGGGGAGCGGAAGGTCAGGGCGGCGCGGAGCGGAAGTGGGAGCCGGAGCCTCGTCCGCCATTGTGGGGAAGCGGAGCCCAGAGCAAGGGGGGGGAAGCGGCGCTGCGTCCGGCCGGCCGGCTCCTTCCAGCGGGAACCCGATCGGCGGCGGCGGCGGCAGCAGCGAACCCAGGCGGCGGCGGCGACAATCAGGCGGCGGCGGCGGGGAGGAGGCGGCGGAGGCGAGCGAGCGGCCCCGGCGTGCGGAATCACTCGAGGCCCAGGCGGAGCGGAGCGAGGGGATCGCGGCTCCCCGTGAAGAATGTCAGCCACCAGCGTCGACCAGGTACCGCCCGCGGGGCGGGGGGGGCGGCCGCCCTCTCTCTCCTCTTCCCGGCCCCGTCGTTACCCGCGGCGGGGGAGGGCGGCGGCAGGGCGGCCACCTGCACCTTCCCTGGCCGCCGAGGCGGCGCGGTTCGCGGCCTCCTCCTTCCCTCCTTCCTTCCTTCCCTCCCTGCTTCCCTCCCCGCCGCCATGGGGAGCGGCTGTCCGTCGCCGCCGGGATGGCGGGCCTCTCTCCCGGCCGGCCGCCCCTATTTATAACCGCTGAGCCGCGCCGGGGCCGCTCCGCCTCCCCGCGCTCCCGCCCGCAGCGCCCGCCGCTGCCACCCGGCCCCCGCCCGCGGCCCCCTTTGTGTGTGCCCTGCTCGGGAGCCGGCCCTTCCCGGCCAGGCCCCCGGCCCCCGGCTCTTCGCCCCGGGAGCGCCCTAGGGCCCGGCTCCGCGCGGCGCCCAGCGCCCGCTCCTCTCCTTGCGCGCCTCAAACTCCGCCAGGCTCCCGTTACCGCATCCTTCCTCGCCCTGCCTTGCGCTCTCCTCGCCCACCTTTCTCCCTTCGCGCCTCTGACTTCTTCTTTTCCCTCGGCCTTCGCTTCTTCCACTCGTTCTCAGTTTTTCTCTTTGCGCTGTGCAACACTTTTTTAAACTTGGTCCTTCACGGAGCTTAGAATTTGTTATTTTTTTAACCTTTGCTAGGCCTCTGCTGGTGTTTCTTTCTGGCTGGAAGCTGTTCCGTCTTGATCTCTGCTTCGTCCGTGGGTTTCTGCCACTCCCCAAAAGTTTTAGCCCTGCAGTCCCTTGCCTCCTTTTATTTTCTCTCTGTGCCTTTAGTGTTCTGTTTCTTTTGTCTCTGTGCATGCTCTCCAGTTTCCTTTAAGCATTTATTTCTAGCTCAGTGATCTCTTAGCTTTTCATTGTTCTGTCTTTCATGAAGGCTGCTTCTTCACAACTTTGTCTAGTTCTGTCTCTTGTTGGCCTTTGCATGCCTTTGTGTCTGGATTAGATTCATCCCAAAAGATGAGGTGGTTGGGGTTTTTCAGGTTACAAGAGATTTTTCCCGTTTTGGGAGAAGACAGTGTCTAACCAGTGCACCTCTAACAGTTTTATGGTAACTCTTGAGACAAATGCACATGAAAGTGACTTGGAGGTGGTTACCTCCTAAAGTTTCAAACCTCTGGATACTGAGTTCTTCAGGACTAAAAATTGTTAAGAGACTGATGGAGCCTGGAGAACCACTCCTGCTTAGTTGAAAGTAATATGAGAAGGTGAATTAGATTTTCATGGACTAGCATTTGTTTTTTGAAGTTAGTTTATCTTGCTGTAGTGGCATTAAGGATACTGTAACTTGTAATGTTACATTGATTCTTAGTGCATGACAGATTAACAGTGTTTTGTAATGACTAATCCCAAAAAAAAAATGCTCCTTAAGGAATTATTTCCTTGGGTGAAAGCTTTGTACAGACTGTATAATTTTCTCAGTATAATTGCCTAGGTGAGGAATGCACAACTTGAAGTTCAGCATATGAGACAACTCTGTATTCCTTTGTATAGCTAAAAAGCAAGGCATTGTATGTTATTCTCTGATAAGTACCTGTCAGTCAATTTAAAAGATGACATATCATAATGAAATTTGGGTATTGGTAGTAATCTTAAGGTTCTAACCTTTTTTGTTAACTCTGTTATTTTTGTTTATTGCAAATGCTTTTTCAGGCCCTGGGGCAATTAAAATTCACTTGTTCAGCTTTTCTGCACCATTTAATCTTCATATGCTGATAAATCCTTGATGATTTCAATAATTTCAGTAAAATTCTATCAGGTTTTGGTTTTGTAGTATTTTATAATGTTATTTTAAGTAATGTCACAACATTTTTATAATAGCATGGTTTGGTAATATTTTCAAGTGATATTTTAGTTGGAAAGGGCAGAATTGGCAAATAAATAGAATTACAGTCAAGTTTATATTAGAGGATTCTAACTGAACTTGTTTTGCTTCCCCCCCTCCCCCCCACTTTTCTATATACAGAGACCTAAAGGACAGGGAAATAAAGGTAAGTTAACCTTGTATTTCTGTATAAATCTGTAATATTGCTTTTATGGAGGATAATGTCTGACAGTCATAGCAAGAGGTTGTAGCTATAGGATGTCTTTTATTTCAGAGCAGGATGACAGTAAATTGTGTGCCAAAATGTTACTTCCCAGCACTTTTACTGTGGCACAGCAGTACGTCAGTTTACAGTGTGTTATTTTGCAAAAGATTAATGTCAGAAGTCAGACAGTTAAATAGTCATTTCCTTTTAGCTGCCTTTGTGATATGCTTCTATAATCTCTTCTTAACAGTACACCTTGGACCTTTCTGTGTAGTGAGTAGAATCATCAGGAAGAATCTCCTGAACAGCTTCCTTAGTTTGCTAGACAGCAACCATGTGACTAGTTACTCATATCTATGAGCAGAAAACATCACCTTCCTTATTCTCTGAATTTTTGTAGTCTTGCTTCATTTTAGCACCAGTAACTGATTTTTTGTCTGTGTTTGTAACAGGCCTTCTGCTTTTCTGCTTTTTCATGTTTCTGTCGAAGTCTTAGTTTTTAAATACCATACTCAGTGTTTTTCTTTCCCACAGAAGGAAAAAACTACTAACTACTTAATATTCTTCTCTCTGAAATTCTTGGCAAGTCAGTTGTAAACAGCATTTCAGATTATATCTTGCAGTATTTTGTCTGGAATTTATTTTCTCACTAATATTCTTTTTGGAATTTCTTACTGCCTAAACAGTCCAATTTGTACCTATTTAATTCTTAGTTGCTCAGCAAACTGAGCTATAGAGTAGCATGCACACAGCTGCCTCTGTGTGTTAATATGCTTGTTATACTTAGGCAGATAAGAAACTTTTTTTTGGGCTTTTTTTTCTTTGCCCCTCTTAGTTCATTATCTGAACTAATTTAATTGGTCTCTGTGAGCTGTCATTTAATGTTATCCACAGCATACTTATTCTATTATTCTGTCTACGTGCAGATTATCTGCTTCTTGTTACATGTATTGCTTGTGAGGTGGCACGTGGTTCCCAGATCTCATTGAGTTTGGCTGTTCTTTTTAATTTCTCTGCATTCAGAGAAAAAGGAACACGTTTATCTCCTCCTTGGTTTGGTCATTCTTGAATACTTGTTCTCTCATATTCTTTTTTTTTTTTTGTCCAAAGTGCACTAATTAACTACTTCATGTTTTTGAAATAGTTTGTGGTTATAACCTTCCATGTTGCCCTTAAATGTGAAGAAAAGTCAGACTCGTTGTAGCAAATAGTTTGTGGCTTCACAATCTTTGAATTATCACTTCTCAGAGAGGTTAATTAGATGCATCTGTTAGAGAATCACACAGGTAGTTTTTGAACTGTACTCTATATATGTGACTTGGACTGGAAGTATTAAGCATTTCTATTTGGGTGCTGTGTTACAGTGTGTGAAAATGCACTAGTCAGCTTTACTTTGGCTTATTTATGTTAGCATATTTTTGTGTTCTGTAATTTGTCACTGCTGTGGAATGTTTGAATCAAAACACATCTCTGCTTGCTATGTAAGGAAGAGATTTTTGCATTTCTGAACTTGGATTTTTTTATGGACTGCATCCTTTTAAATAATGAATACTTATTATATATTCTCTTGATGAGAGTATGACCTGAGTGAAAACTATAGTGAAACAGAACAATTAATCTCTGTTCTGTTAAATTATTCGGTGTAATGTCTGCTTAGTGAAACTAAGTTATGACTTAGCATTAGATTAAAGGCCTAGGAGATCTTCACTGTAGCACAAATTGTTGGCTTTGAGCTAGAGGCTTTTTCAAGTGGTTGAATTTAGTCAGTGTCAGCAGTCCTTACTGACCACATTTTAGCAGCCAGTAGTCTTTCAGTTGTTGTGATAGGTTTCAGCTTAGAGGAGCTCTGAGGGAAGATGTGATACTGAGTTAACAGACCAGTCTGAAGGTGGTTCTGTGCATAGGAGAAGAGTAGTAATGTTAGGAAGGATGGCAGAAGCTGTCCACGTCTGGTAGAGCATATGAGAGAATGATAAAAGGGGTGTATACATATTTCATATTAAAATGAAAAATATTAGACCTGAAAATTATATTGGTAGGTAGCTGATTTTTTTTTTTTTTTTGTCTAGTAAAGTGCCTTGGATGCTTTGTTCTAATTGCTCATAAATTGGTGTGCTGTGCTGTTTCCTTCAACCACAATTTGTGGGACTGAAGTTCCAGTATGTAGAGCAGTACTATCTATCTGTTGTGTCAGATATTTGTGTTGGTATTTCAGAGGCTTGAATGATTATATCTTCCTGTCATGAAACTTTACTTATTCTAGTTGTCAACTACTGTACAGTTCACGTAAAATTTCAGAACTGACATCCATCAAATTATGACTTAAAGGGGTGTGAAGAAAAAAGGCACTCCTGGGACTCCTTTTTCCCCCCTTTTGTTTATTATGCCAGTGTATCACATCTGTCATAGGAAGGTGCTGACTTATTTTTACACTTGTGTGTGTAACAATTTTTTGTTTCGTAGGAGGCTTAAATGTAATTATTAGGCTTAAAACAAGAATGAAATATTTCATGTTTCTTTCAGTGTTTATGCTTCATGTTAAGGTGTGATGGCTTCTAATGAAAAAGTTATTGTACCTTTGGGTATAATTTTTTGTGTGTGGCTATTCCAAGGATAGTAGCAGTTAAAAGAATATCAGCTTTAAATTCCTCTATTTGATGAGTTGCTTCTTCCCAATATCTAATTACACTGTATGTTTTCACAGTGTTTGCAGAAACATACAGTATTTTTAGCATCATATTGATAGAGATATTTTTAGTATCTGTAGATTAGTTTCAATTAGTATTCTTCATCACTGCCCTGTTCAGTTGGAACACTTAACATGAGATTTTGGGAATGAGGCATTCATTTGCTCTTGTTAAATGTCTGTGTGGGCTACATTCTTCACTATTAACACATTATGTGAAGTTAGAATGAAAAGCTAAAGAAACATGCTCCCAGTGATGCTATTTCACTAGGAAATGTATATATTTCACCAGAAGAAGTGTCTCTGTAGAAATATTGTGTCACTGACTTAATATCTCAGTACAGAATGAATAAGAAAGAAAATACATTGACAGGAATATTTTATGTTAGTTGTAATGTCAGCCCAAAAAGAATTCTGTCTTCAGTGACCTTTAGATACCTGTGGAGCAATAAACACAGCAGATGCACGTTTTATGAAGATTAGCTGTCAGTATGAGGAGATTAATTTTGATGGGATACTAGTCTTGATATACATCTGCTTATTCCTTTACTTGTGGTTGCATGCTTTTAAGAAACTTGTATGCTGCTGCCCATGTTTTTCATTATGATAAAATTGTGTTTGAGAGTTGTGCTGTCTGTTCTATTTGGTTAAGTCTAAGCAGTGAACATGACATAGACAAAATGTTTTGAGGCTTCATCCTGTGTGTAACTGGGCCAAATATAAAGAGGAATTCCAATATAAAGAGCTTATTATTATGTTACCATTGTGTGTAAAATCAGGATGATATATGACCTGAGCTAAAACTCTATTTATGGGGTAAAAGAACCCCAGCACCTAATATTTAATTTAAATGTGATGTTTAATTAGGAATATTGTTCTATCCAGTTGTAAACTGCATTGTGCTCAGCATTGCTGCTCATATTTGACTGTTGCTAGCATAGAAATGCAATGTACCAGTTTGTAATAACTGAAGTGTCTGGTGTTCCTTTAAAACTTCAAGAAGGTATTCAAGACACAGGTTGCTTTCTTCCCAGATAATTGCTTTGAAGAAGCCTTCTGTGTTAAATTATGAATTTTTACCTTTTTTTTACTGCTCTCTGAAGTTAATAAAATTTTCCAGGATTTTGATTATTCCTTGTGATTATATCTATTACTTTGTCATTTCTTTCAGCTAGTTTCATTCATTGAAGGCAGTTTTGTTTTAGAGATGTTGAAGTCAATGTGAAAAAAAATTCAAGCACCACTTGGCTTACAATGTGAATTTTGGGTGGCAATGCCCTTACCCCCAATGAAGCAAGAAAAAACCCCTGACTCTTACACACTAATTTCAGCAAAGTTGAACATTTAATTACATGGCTGTATATGCTTTTCAGAAGCTTTTGCTAAAAGAGGGAAGCCATAAAATTGGCTCCTAACTCAGTTTAAGTTTCAGAAAATTGCTGTTTTCTTGTAACTTCTGCAGTCATGGTTTTTCAGTGCACCTTACTGATCATCCTGAGACTTTCTTTTTTGTCCCACTGAACATATTTGACAAAAAAAACAAAGTTGCATTTGGATAACCAGTAAATTTATTTTTAAGAACAGATCTTCATCTTCAGGTTGTGTAATTAAAAGTGCTGGTTTAAGTCCCTGTTCTGCTTTGCACCCTGGGAAACAGTGGAACTTAGCAGAAGTTTGTGCAGTGTGGCTTTGTTTCAATAGTAGCCTGGGGGATGGTAGAGAGACACTTCAAGTAATTTGGGCAGCTGGAGAATCCCAGGTAGGTGTAATGCCTTAGATGAAATGAAAGGTAATAGGAGACCAAGAAGAGCAGGTAGGAAGAGATTCCAGCATATAGTGCCATATGTGTTGGGAAAGGCTTGTAATCACCCTTTGGGACTTAAGCTTTTATTTCTGTCCTGCTTTGTCACCTCAGAGCTTCAGAGATGTCACTAGTGCAGTACAGTTATGTAGGAAATACAGGGTTGAATAGCTGAATAGTGGTGTCCTTCATGGTTGTCTTGGTGGGTAACTGCCTTTCCTCCTGACAGGAGAAAGCTGTATGTTGCAACTTTCCCTGAACCTATTGAATATGTCTATAGATGGGGTTGGTCTGCACATTTGCACTTGGTCTGGTACTTCCAGAAATGCTGGATTTACTGCCTGTGCAAATAAGGTGTGCCTGCAGTTCTTCATCCACATGCCTGTGATCCCAGGAAAGAGTAGTCAGGAGTAGACTGTTCTAGCTGCCATCTTTGCAGACCTCTCCTGAGATCTGATCCTCATGATCAGTAGAATGAGCTATTTTGTTTAAATTGGAATGGTGCTTAACAATAATATGTATTTCAATGTACAGATGATTAAGAAATGTTACCTAGATTGAAAGTGCAGCATAGGTTTTCCAGAGACTATTCTAATACAGATTTATTTTTAGTTTCAGTACAAAACGGTTCGATTCATCAAAAGGATGCAGTAAATGATGATGATTTTGAGCCATATCTAAGTAGTCAGACAAATCAGGTAAGTGAACATTGGTTAGTACCTTGAAGTAAACTTTGACATTCAGCTGACTTCCCGACTTAATTTTTGGATATTTCTTACCATTACTGACTTGCTGACTATGAATATACACAGAGATATAATTTTATGTCATACTTTGTCTCATCATATGATATCTTAAGCAGATGAAGTGTTCTTAAGAATTCTGGAAAAGCTTCAGTTAAAAAGCATGCTTTCATGTCCCTGTCTCTTGTGCTTCTGCTTTAGCTTCTCAAAGATGGAGTTACAAGAAACTTGAGCTAAAAACCAAACCCTTACATTTAAAACAAAATCATCATTTTGCATGCAGTCCAAAACAACAGTTTTATTGGCTCTGAGAATATATTAACTGCTTGGACATGGTTTCCTTTATAAGTGGTAGAAGTAGCTCACAGCTGATGCCATAATAGATGGAAGCTTAGTATCACTACAGCTTGGTACAGCTCTTTTGCCAAGACACTAATGGCTTGACTTCCAGAGCTGTGAATTGCCTCTGTAGTTGAAAGTTGATATGAGTTATGTTAAGTTTGTAAACTGGAGTGATCTTGAGAGAGAGAGTGCAAATTATTAAAAGACTAAGAATTTTTGCTTGCCTTCTCTTTATTTTTCCAATAATACAGCATTAAGGAAGCATCACCTAGATGATCATATGTCGAATTTTTTCTAGAAAAAAACAGCAGAAATCATGTGGGGGTAGTCCTTCAAATGTCTCAAGAGATAAATTGTGTGATTTCCCAGGAGTCTGTCTGGAGTAGTACTGATTTAATGCCCGTTCTCCATAGCATGGATGTGTTACCTCTTTTTTGTTGCTACTCCTGAAACAAACAGGCATCCTTGCATCCATTTCACTCTACTAGTCTGTTGGAGTCTCCAATTAGAAGTGAGAAATATGACAAAATCTAAGAATACAACAACTTTAAATCATAGTTGCTGCTATTTTTCTTTAGTTATAAAGATACAGTTATGTACCTTTATAACTAAAGAAGAAACTACTTGTTTTAGAGTAGCTTGTTATTTTCTTGATGCTGTTGGCATGGAGGCATTTTAAACCTAGCTTCAGTGCTAAACATGAGGATAATGTTCTAGAGCAAAAGGGGGCCCTTTAATGCTTTGAAAAGGTCTCATGAAGAAATGGCCATATCTGACAGATACCTCATTTATCTTTTATGTTGTGAGGAATGGCGAAAGTTACAAATACATTCATATAACCCTTAAAAATGTTTTGGATTGTATTACAGGTTTTTTTCCCCTGAGCATAATTGTCACTATTACTGATCTTTTAAAAATTTATTTTCTTGCAGAGTAACAGCTATCCACCAATGTCAGACCCATACATGCCTAGCTATTATGCTCCATCCATTGGATTTCCATACTCCTTAGGTGAAGCAGCATGGTCAACTGCAGGTGACCCTCCAATGCCATATTTGACAACTTATGGACAGATGAGCAATGGTGAACACCATTACATACCTGATGGTGTATTTAGTCAACCTGGGGCATTAGGAAATACCCCTCCATTTCTTGGGCAGCATGGATTTAATTTTTTTCCTGGGAATGCAGACTTCTCTACATGGGGGACAAGTGGATCTCAGGGACAATCAACGCAAAGCTCTGCTTACAGCAGCAGCTATGGCTATCCACCTAGTTCTCTTGGGAGAGCCATAGCAGATGGACAGGCTGGATTTGGCAGTGATACTCTGAGCAAGGTGCCTGGGATTAGCAGCATTGAGCAAGGCATGACTGGACTGAAAATTGGTGGAGATATGACGGCTGCTGTAACAAAAACCGTAGGTTCAGCTCTGAGCAGTACAGGTATGACAAGCATTGCAGCTAACAGCGTGCCCCCAGTTAGCAGTTCAGCGCCTAAACCAACCTCATGGGCTGCAATTGCAAGGAAACCTGCTAAACCTCAGCCGAAACTCAAGCCTAAAGGTAACGTGGGCATTGGGGGCCCTGCTGTACCGCCGCCACCTATAAAACACAACATGAATATTGGAACTTGGGATGACAAAGGGTCAGTGGTAAAAGCTCCCCCAGCTCAACCAGTACTGCCTCCTCAGACTATAATCCAGCAGCCTCAGCCATTAATTCAACCACCACCACTGGTGCAAAGCCAACTGCCTCAACAGCAGCCTCAGCCACAGCAACCACAACAGCAACAAGGACCTCAGCAGCAGGCTCAGCCTCACCAGTTGCAGCAGCAGCAGCTGCAAAACCGCTGGGTAGCTCCTCGTAATAGGGGTGTGGGCTTCAGCCAGAACAATGGAGCTGGTAGTGAGAACTTTGGTTTAGGTGTTGTGTCCGTCAGCTCCTCACCTTCTGGTGTGGAAGTGCACCCAGTGCTGGAGAAACTAAAGGCCATAAACAACTACAATCCCAAAGACTTCGATTGGAATCTGAAGAACGGACGTGTGTTTATAATAAAAAGTTATTCCGAGGACGATATTCATCGCTCCATTAAGTACTCTATCTGGTGCAGTACTGAGCATGGGAATAAGCGCTTGGATGCTGCTTACCGGTCCCTGAATGGCAAAGGCCCGCTCTATTTACTCTTCAGTGTGAATGGCAGTGGACACTTCTGCGGAGTGGCTGAGATGAAGTCTGTTGTGGACTACAATGCATATGCTGGTGTCTGGTCTCAGGATAAGTGGAAGGGGAAGTTTGATGTCAAATGGATCTTTGTCAAAGACGTTCCCAATAACCAACTGCGACATATTCGCTTGGAAAACAATGACAACAAACCAGTTACCAATTCGAGGGACACTCAAGAGGTACCCCTAGAAAAAGCCAAGCAAGTGCTTAAAATAATTGCTACTTTCAAGCATACCACCTCAATCTTTGATGACTTTGCACATTACGAGAAGCGTCAAGAGGAGGAGGAAGCCATGCGTAGGGTAAGAAATCAGTGTCATTACAGTAGCTCTTTTTTTTCTGTTTTCAGAAACCTTGTTTTTCATTCATCTGGAATTTCTGTCTGCAAGTGTTAAATCAGAAAGTGGTACTTCTTGCTCAAAGTCTCTACTTGATATAACTGGCTCTTAATGAAAAAATTGAAGTTCCTGTTACTTGTTTATTAGTTCAGTCATCTGTTTAATCACAAGATGAAGGTAGGCCTGAATAAGCAGACATCTGACAGGTTCTACTTCTTCAATGCAAATGAGAACTGAATTGAGTCCATTTTCCATAACTGAAGTCTTCTTGCTTAGATTTTTACAGTTTCTGGATGTCACAAAAAGGAACAGAAATTAGAGAAGCGTACTTTATTTCACATAACGTTTCAATTCAAATTCTGCTTTAATGAAATGTTAACAGCATGGTTAGTGTGAAGAGCAGGTTTTCTCCTTGATTCAATTTATCTTTTGTGGAACTGTGAAAAACAGAAGTGATACGGTGATGAAATAATTTTTTGACCTTTCTGATAGTGCATTTCCTTAAAAAATGTTAATTTCTGCAAGGAAGAGTAAATGTGATAACCCTGTAGAGAAACTTTTAGTTTTGGAGACATTTCCTGAAATGCTCATCAGACAAGGGAAAAGCTTTTAATTCAAGCAGTTTTGTAGTACTTGGGTACTTTGTCTTGTGTACCCTCCCTAATCATAACACTTGTGCTCACCCTTGGCCACAATATTTACGTTTCCTATATTTACTTGCTTTCCAGACTTGCCAGTAACTGTAAATACATGATTTGTCTCATGGTTAGAAACATTTCAGGATCTTTTTTTACCAGTCAGATGATATGCAAGTATTCAAAAATGAGAGTTGCCATCAGTATGGTTTTTTGCTAATGTTCTCTGTTCATCATGTCATACCACTCGCTGGAATAAAAGCCCCCAAAAGTTTAGGGTTTATGCTAATTAAGGGCCTTGAGAATTTGTTCACTTGAAGCTGACACCTAAAGAAGCTGTGAAGCAGGTGAAATATTTACTCCTCTTAGGTTTCTGGTACTGTGGTGGTTTCACCCCTGTTGTACATTCCTAATCCTTCAAGGTGTGTGTTGCATCTCCTGTAGAACTGTGTCAGGCATACTCCAAACCAATTTTGTACTTCTATTGCATGACTCTGCAGTAAATTGTTATGTTGAAAGTTTTCTGTTGTTAGGAGGCTAGATGAGTATCCCAGTTGGGTATGTGATGCCTTTTGGATTTTTTTTTCCTAAAAAGAAAATGGATTATGCCCCAAATGAGTATCATTAACTTTCATGGTGTCTCAGTGATGGAGTGATGGACTACTTTTTTAACTAAAATTCAATGTGAGGGAAGACTTTGACTTTTTCAGGCTTTGGTACGACTTCATCAAGTGCAGAACCACCAGCCAGTTGAGGGAGGCGATTGTCCCACTCTACCCTGTGCTAGTGAAGCTTCACCTCGAGTCCTGTGTGCAGTTTTCAGTGCCACAATATAAGATGTAAAGCTATTAGAGAGCATCCAGAAGGGCCGCAAAGATAGTGAGGAGTCTGGTCTTCTCCATGTGGGAAGAACTTGTGGACACTTGGTTTGTTCAGCCTGGAGGAGACTGAGGGGGAGACCTTATTGTGGTCTCATGAGGGGAAGTGGAGAGGCAGGCGCTGATTTCTTCACTCTTGTGACCAGTGACAGGTTTTGAGGGAATGGCCTGAAGCTGTATCAGGGAAGATGTAGATCAGATAGAGGAAAGGAGGGTGGTTGGGCACTGGAACAGGGTGCCCAGGGAAGTGGTCACAGCTCAGGGCTGACAGAGTTCAAGAAGTGTTTGGTCAATACTCTCAGGTAGAAGGTGCAACTCTTGGACACAGAACCAGGAGTTGGACTTTGGTGATCCTCATGGGCCCTTTCCAGATGTTCTGATTCTGTGATTTGTTGTAATTTTGTAATGTTTCAGGAGGACTGAGATTATAATGTATAATGGATCTCTGTAGCCTTCACACTTCAGTATTTTCCAAATTTTCAGAATTTTGGGATATTTCATAAATAACTGGTTTGCGTCAAAAATCTCCTTTGTTGAACAAAAAGCTTCACAAACAAGTCATAATTCAGGCATGCCCTAGCAACTCAGGAAAATTGTTTTATTTTTGTGGATTTGTTCCCTCAGTAGTAGGTAAAAGCCACAAAATGTAATGAAGAGGAGGAATGTAGATTAGTGGAAATGTTTCTATGTGTGCCAAACTTAAAATTCAAAGTACTGAGTTCAGAATTTAGTAGGCCTTGAACTACATAATTGTGATGATGGATATTTGACTAATAAATTAACGTTGCTATTTGAATAATATCTTCAGAGAAACATACAGTATCTGTATGGCTCAAATATTGCCCTCTTTGTTTTTTTGTAAATAGTTAACTTTCCCAACACTGTTTGGAGAAAACATGCTTGCCAAGATACTTGCAGTAGTGGCCATTGGCTCTTTTAAGGCATTGTACAAATTTGTTTTATAACTAATTATCAAAAATTGCTTTGGAACTATGTAGGTTAGTCATGAGGTTTTCTCTTTGTAGATGGATTTGAGGTGTGCTTTCAGCAAATTAATATAGACTTAAAATACAGGAAGTTCAAATTAAACTAATGACATCTACTGAGAGTTTAACTTTAGCATTCTCTTGTGATTGAATGTTGATTTTAAATCTGTGGTTTTTCTTTTATCACACAGTGTACAAGTAATCTGTCTTTAAGTTGTAAACATGCAATTGTTAACTCTTATGATTTAAGTCTGTAAATACACCAATTAGTATTGTAAGCTCTGGTTTGTGGTTAATTGAATAGCTCTTTATTACCTAGTGCCAGCTAAGCTTTCATGGAGCTGTATTTAAAAATGTGCACTTTCTACTGCCTGTAGAACTGTGTAAATTAAGTTCCTGTTCATTTTCTTTGGGAGCTGTGGCAATCACTTTGTTTCCAGTGTTTTGGTCATGAAAAATATGCTTATAGCTGTTAATAAAATATTAAATGCATCAGGCTGCAGTAGCCCCCTCCATGTTCCTTGAAATTCAGTTAATATTTTGTTGTTGCATAGGTGGTTACAAACTTTCATACAGCCAGCAATCTAAATATTGCAAACAGCAAATAATTTAGGGATTTAATTTGCGTTATAACTGTTCCATCATTACAACTAATTTATCTTAAAATAATTGGTTGTAAAAGTTTAATCTTAACATCTCAGGGGGATCAATAATTCATTTCCAATATGGCCTGGCAGTATGTTTTATTAAAATATGGCAGTATACTTCTGAAAGTTCAATGAATAGCCTCTGATAAACATGAAACATAGCAACTTTGCCATTTGATAAAGATAACTTGAAAATGACAAAGAATAGTCTCTTTAAGCATAAATACTAGAGCTTTAGTGTTTGATGTAACCCTGGTGTGGGTGAGGCATCTACAGCAGGGCTTGTGCAGTAATCATTCTCTTTCTCTTCCAGCTCAGGCTCCAGACTCTTGTTTTAAACATACAAGTGCTGTGATCTTTACCAAAGGATCAGAGAAATGAGTGATGCTTTTCATGAGTTCTGTCAGACATACACTGAAATGATCTGGAATTCCATTTGTCCTTAGTTAACTGCTGCTTTGTGGTGTAAATGTGCAACTTGCATTGCATATTATTTAAAAAGATGTTTGATTGTCTTTCAACAGAAAACTATAATATCTAAATGAATGAAACAGAAATCTGAAAATATGCCTTTTAAGATGACATAATTACATTTTAGAAAATCAAAGGTATTGAAAATAAAGAAAAACATCTGTAGTAGTAGCTTTGCATTTGATCTTCACTAAGTATATGGGTGAAAATAAAATGTGGCTCTGATTAAAAATGCAGTTGTTGGCAGATTATGACTTCCTTGCCCACAGATGGTGGTTTATTACCTGTTGTCCTAGGACTTCTTTTGGTGCTTTTTGATGGAGAATTTTACTTTTGTAGCGTACAGTGGGAAAAAAAGGTCATGGTTTCATGTAATTGTAGAGTGTTTTAGGTGGTTTTCTTAGTGTGATAGTCCACAAAGGTAATTGATTTTTATACATGAGGTAAGATGGAAGTACTTAGTATATATTTGTGTTTATCTAATTTGCATTTGGATTTTTTTTTACTTTTCAGGAAGCCTTTAAATGGCAAATAAATAAGCATTTAAAATTTTAGCTTTCTTCTGTTGTATTACTTATCTTGTAATGGGAATGCTGACATTGTTAGAACTTCCTGACTCTCAAAATGAGTGATTTTTTTTTTTTTCCCCCTTCATTCTGATATCAATGTAACTTCTGTTTCTCTGGTAATTATGTCATTAGCAGGTTGCAGTGTTAAGCAGTGTAACTCCTTTCCTTTCTGGGACATTGCTGACATTGTGATTGATTTGATATTTCTTAAAAATATCTTGAAGGGAGAAATCATCCATTAAGAGTGAACTGTAGCTGCTTCTTCCTCCTCTTAACTCCCAGACATCAATTACTATAATATAATGTCAAAAACAGATATAGATTCATTGACAGATTTTCAGTTAAGGAAAACAGGTGATTGACAAAAATTTTTAATGCAGTCAAAAAATATTTGTACTAAACAACTTCTGAAAGTTTGTGTATTTATATTTAGAAGAGATTTATGTAATAAACATGAAACTATCTAAAACAGGATTATGTAATTAATATCTTCTGAGAAACTTGTGCATTTCCTGTATGCTTTTGATGAAGTTTCAGGGGACATCATTTTTCAATTTCCTTGAACTTCATATTAATCAAGAGTGCCATCTTCATAAGTGGAAGTGAGAGTAGAAACAGGAAACACTTTTTTTCCCTTCCCTTGCTAGCTGTGAGATGAATATGTACCCCTGGTCATGGGAGAAGATTATTTGGAGCTAGAATAATTTTGAGCATACTGCTCCAGAATTTCCTTTCCATTATGGTGTACTTATTTGCAGTGTCTTTATTTGCTTTTGCA